TAAATAGAAGACTATATTAGAAAACTGAAAATTTTATCAAGATGTCAATTATTTTCCAATTAATCCTTATAAAGATCTCAATAGTTGTTCGTGTATGCAAGTGTGTGGTATGTCATGTGTATCAGTGTTGGATGCTTCATTTCTTTTTTTTTTTTTAAGATTTTATTTATTTATTTGACAGAGAGAGACACAGCGAGAGAGGGAACACAAGCAGGGGGAGTGGGAGAGGGAGAAGCAGGCTTCCCGCGGAGCAGGGAGCCCGATGCGGGGCTCGATCCCAGGACCCTGGGATCATGACCTGAGCCGAAGGCAGACGCTTAACGACTGAGCCACTCAGGCGCCCCGGATGCTTCATTTCTAATGAAGATGTGTATCACTCTCACAGACACCCTGTCAGATCCGCTCTCCCAACAGCCAAGTCAGTTAACTCTTGCATTTTCCCCTCAGCCACCCACAATTTTTTTTTTTTAAAGGGAGACATTCACTTTTAATTTTTTTTTAATTTAAGACACAGAAAAAGAAAGTCAAGACATTTTGCCAAAAATAATATTCATAATAGTCAATATTCTTAAGTAATACATGCCATCCACTAGTCTGAGCTCTTTATATCACTAATTCATTTAATTCTTCCAAAAATGTTATGAAGTAGGAATAATTATTACTCCCATTCTACAAATGAGTACTCTGAGTCATAAAAGTTAAATAACTGGTACCAAATCACTTACTCTCAGTACAAGTGACAGAATTAGGGTCTGAATTCAGAAAATCGGCTCAAGAGCCCACACTCACTGCCTCTACAGTAGGCACTGCAGAAAATGTAAAAAGGTACATTTTGCTCATTTAATTTGATACTCCTGTTTATACTGAGGACTTAGTTCAAAGACATTACACTGTAATTCCTCTAACACTCAAGAACTTACTAGACCTTCTCTCCATTAACATGGAGTAGCTTGTGCTGGTTTCCACAGAACACCCAAGGTTAAAAAAAAACCCTTTCAATCTCAAAATCAAACACTTCGTTGAACATTTTCACAGACTTTCCTAGTTTTCCTAACTTGAGAGCTCCCTAAATTCCTAAAAAAGGAATCCCTGACTTGGGACAGTAATGAGACAAATGAGCCAAACCTTTCAATTAGTGAAAAAAAATTCAATGAATCCCCTTCCTTCATTCAACCATTCAGGCTTAGTAACATGTCCTAAGAATATCATTTTCAAAGTTCCAAAGCACGAAACAAAAATCACTGTGACCATATCTGGTAAAAGGGGTAACAGCTCCATCCTGTATTTCCTCCCCCAACTGGGTGTTCCACCAGTTGACCTTTATGCCCATGGTATCTTGATTTTCCTCACTTCCCAGGCTAGGACAAATGAGGTCTTCTGACTCTTCTGCCCATGGAAACAGAAATGACTGATCATATAATCCTATACAGATTATTCTTTTGTAATGGACCCCACCTGATGCTTTCATTCACAAGGCATGGTTTTTACTCTAGCTTGTGAACCTTTTCCTCAGACCTCGTGTCTGGCCCTCTCTTTTGTCTTTCTGCCTTCATTCTATGTTCCTTTTGACATACCACTCTGAGTGAACAGAAGGTGAATCAGTCTATCACTCCCCTTGTCTTCACCATGATTCAAGCTGCACTTAACCTTCTTCCTCATATTTAGTGCCTAGTATTTCTCAACATCACTTCCCATCTAGAGAAGCTCTCCTTCCAATGAATATGGCTTCCAAACCTGACTCTGGAGCATTTGCAGGGATGACTTCCCTGTTCTAGGTTTCTCATTATCTCCTCTGTGGAGACTTCCCTCCTTAACCACTCAAAGATACAACTGTTGAAGGCAACACTCCATAATGAGAAGACATATAAAATATAGCCCTCTTCTGACCCATCCAGCCTGCTGAGATAATATAGATGCACCATGTTCAATAAATATTTTAGCCTGTTATAGACCTACATTTGAAATTTGTGTAATATTAGAGAAGGTAATTAGAGAAAGTAGAGAAGAGTAGAAAAAGAAAATATAGCTTGTTCCGTGTAAATGCAATACGATTGGGGTCTTCCGGGTCAGTAACTGGAAAGCTTTGCTCTGAGAGTTTTATGCAAGCTTACTTATTTACTAGTTGCCAGAAGTTGGGTAAAAGTTTTCCTGGTCCTTCAACACTGAATTATAATGGAATTCCAATGGAGTTACACATGCCATCCCACTTGAATGCCCAGCAGGAACTTTAAGGTCACTGTGGTAATGAATGGCCAAAGAATTAATAGGAGTGGAGCCTTATGCGCCTTCCTTCCTGTGCGGCAGCTGGGCAGAACAGTACTCTGTTCATGGCTGAAAATACGTCTCAGACATGGCCACCACAGCTGTTCTGGGCACTTCAGAGATGGGGGCCTGTTTAAATCACCCTGCCTTCTTCCCTCATCAGACACATTTCTTTGACCATTATCAATCGCACAACAGCCACATTTGTCTCTTAAGAGACCTTCAAGCATGGAGACAGTTTTACCAAACGCCACGGCCTTCCTTCCTCAGTCTTGCCCCCCACTCCACATCCTCTTATCCTCCTTGCTGCCAGAATGTCCCTCATCCAGTTTTTTCTCATGGACTTTTTTTACCCACTCAGGGTTCTGTATGATCTGCCTCACCTTCAAGCGCTAGCACCACCATCTGCTGTCACACAGATATACTAAACCCCAAACATCTCCCTGGATCTAGCACAGCCTTGAGCTTTGAACCTTTGCAGTCTCCCACCTACTGAAGTCCCCATTCATTAACTCTTTGCTCAACTATCTCTTCCTGTTATGACATGCTGATAAGATGTCTCTTCTTCAGAAGTGCCCCCTATCTGTCTTTCTCTCCCCTACACCCCTTTCTGGGCTGGTCAGACCTCTCCTGCCACCCTGTCTTACCTCTACCTCGCATCAATGCAACTGAATTCTAATTATTACTGTTCTCCCTCACTGGAAGATAGATCCTTAGAGGAAAATGGCATTCTAGTGTAGTAGTGAGGGCAGGTTCAAATCTAAGCTTCTTTTCTTACTAGTTCTGTGACCTTCAGTTACAGAGTTAATCACTCTGTGATTCCATTTTCTCATCTGTAAAATGGGTATACTAACAATCCTTAATCCAGAGGCTTGTTGGAATATTTAATCTGATTCCTGTCAGCAACTTTTTAAAGAAATTACTATGTGTGAAGGGTTTACAATAGCGTCTGTCTGGCACATGACATGAGCTGATGTTGCTATTATCATGGTTTTATGGAATATTTCTCATTCTTAGACCAGGTCAGTGCCTAACACTCAGAACTGAGAGTTAATGAGTGAATGAAGGAAGAAGTATAACGCCATCCTCATCACTTGACTATTTCCTATTGTCACTTATGTTTTTGTTAAACAATTTTGAGGGTAACTTCAGAAATCATTTGTCAATTTATATGAAATCTAGGTAGGCATCAATATATGGAAGGAAAAATCCTCCTGTTCTTTAATTTTTCTTCTAAGACATTGATAATGGGAATAGCAACATGTAAGTTCAGTAAAACTTAGCAAATTTGTTTAAAGATGATTTATAACTTATTTTATAAACAAAAAGAACACGTTTACTATGCCAACAATAAATGGCCACTCAAGAGCAACTGGATTTGATAAGGAATTGAGAAAGATCAGTATCCATAAAAAGTCCCATATGAGCTATTTATATTTCTTAATGTTCATTATAAACTGATTCCCCTGCATCTTGATATATAAAACTTTCCCTTGGCTTTTAGCACTAATATTAATCTCCTTTGCCCATGCAATTTCTTTTTTTTTTTTTTAAGATTTATTTATTTGAGAGAGAGAGAGAGCATGAGTGGAAGGGGCAGAGGGAGAGCGAGAGGGAGAGAGAATCTCAAGCAGACTCTGCACTGAGCGTGGAGCCCGACTCATGACCCTGAGATCTCATGACCCTGAGACCATGACCTGAGCCAAAACCAAGAGTCAGATGCTTAACCAACTGTACCACCTAGGCACCCCTACCCATGCAATTTCTAAATATTATCTTCTTTACTTAAAAAACTATAATGGACAGTAAAATAAGAAAAAAGGTATCCATGAATCTTTAGAAAGAACAATATAGTTGATATAATTCTGGATTTGAAGGAGGAAATAAGTTTGAAATTAAAAGAAAAAAAATTTTAAATTGCTCTGTTCATTGGTACCAAATGAAGACCAAGTTAAACAGAGTTCATGATGTCTGAAACAAAACAAACATGAATCACAGAAACAGTCTTTCTCAACTGAGACTCCATTATAGATTTATTCGTTGTGACCTAAGGTAGGAAGTGGCAAGCTATGGGTTGGATTTAAGTCAACTCTAGCCTGCCACCTGTTTTTGTAGATAAAGTTTTGTTAGAACACATATCACAGCCATCCGTTTAGGTATCAATGATGCCTTTTATACTTAACAGAGTTGAGTACTTGTGGTCCACAAAGATGAAAATATTTACTCACTGCCTCTCATAAAGAAAGTCTGTTGACCCATGTCAAAGGTACCCATGAATGTGATGAATTAACTTCTCATCTTTGTATCCATGATGCTACTATCTATGTACGGCTCTTTGGTAAGTTGAGAAAAAAAGCATTTACTGTGTTCCATGTTTCAGTTGAAAAAGGCAATTTTAGAGCATATTTGCTTCCCTTTTTATTTCTGAATAGGATACTCTATTTTTTTAATCTATAATTTATCACCCAAATGAGGATACTTTTGAGAGTGAACTAATTATGCTGGGGCAATTGGTGTGAATTGGCCATATGGTCGCCCTGGTTCCAAGGCACTACCCAACTGTGAAGCTGACAAGCCCAAAGAACAAACCAACAAATATAAATAGGGTTGCTCCAACACGGTAGCTTTTGTTTCTTTTGTTTTTGCATTTACTGATCCCTGCCCTCCCCACCCTCTTACCCCCACTGCCCTAATGTATGGCAGCTCTACTTCAAACACAACACAAATGTAAAACTTACTTTTTAATTCTTTCTCCAAAAGAAGCTATTTCCTCCAAGATGTTTTGAACAGTTGAAACAATATCCTGTACCATATAGATTCTCTCAATTAACCCCTTTTTCTCAGATTCCTAGGAAACATAAAAGCAAGATTTAGCTCAGTCACTTCATTTTTATTGTCCCGCTATAAAAATTACTTTACCGTGCAACAGAGTGACTCAAGAGATGCATCACATTTTTCACAACTTAAAGTATTTATTGACTCCAAAGAACTGTTGCCCACTCATTCAGATGCAACCATTCACATTGTGTCTCAGTCACTACCTCAGTGTGAGGAAGTGATGTGTGGAAGCCCCACAGAACCAAGAGTTTCATTTCTCTGTGGAAGCTACTGCTTCTGACAGAGAACTCGGCAGCCCCTTCCATTTGGCTGACCTTGATTTCCTGTTTGGCTTCACAAGGTTATCTGCCAGCTCACCTTACCCCTATCCCCTCACAGTCCTTCAGGTATGTTTCCAGCATGTGAAATCCAGATGATAGGTTTCCTAGTACTGTGGCTTCTTTGTCAAACTCTGCTGTGTTTTTAGTCATGTTTTAAACCCACTGCAAGTCTGACAAACATTTCAGTTATTCTTTGGCAACCACCTCAGAAACAGAGTAGGCACCTGGAGGCAGACTACAAAGTCACTGCTGGAGATTGCATCCTACACAGGTTACTCCCTTGGCGGATGCTCAGTGATTGACTGGCTTTTTCTTCATAGAAGTAGAAGCAAATACAAGTTCATCTTCCTCAGTCTCCAATTCTTCACGTGAAACAGAATTCAGCCTCCTAAGAACACTGTCCTTACTTTGCTTATAGAAAATCTCAAGTGTGTTTTACCATGTTAGGCAGCTAATGCTTCTAAAAAGAATTTAGAAATCACTCAAATGTTGGAAAAAGAGGATTCCCTAAAGAGTGGTATTTTTACACAATTTCTTATGTTCTGATACCATAATCTAGCTCCCTGGGAACTCTACTGGAACTGGGATTTAGCTAGTATCCTCTCAGCTCTTGCCTATCTGGGTCATTGTAGACACTACATCTAACCAAAAACCAAATCAAAAACCTCAAATTTTTCTTTATCTAGAATTTTACTTGAGTTAGAATTGTACTAAATTTATGAGAGTATTTTAAGAATAACCTTCTGTGCAGCAAAAGAAAATATTTCACTCTCCTCTTGCATTCTCTGTTCCATCAAACTGGACACAAGTTGGGTGGGAAGGGGAATCTACCACCCGGCAATTGTGGGTAAAAGCACCAGGATGGCAGAAATGTCACAAAAGCACGAATTATGTACTTCAAGTTATGTCCCTTCTCCCACCTGTCCTTGATCATGAAGCTACTTGGCAGAAGCAGACCACGGAGAGGGCAGAGGTTAGAATGCACCACTGTCAGCCCCTCTTTAGTAAAGGGTGCTGGGATGGTTTGAAGAACCTCTTACCATCTGGGTTGAACTCCTTAATCCAAGCAGTCTGTATAGAAGGAGAAGGCAGGCTCATTGTGTCCTCTTGCTACATCAAACTAGCAAAACATTTGTAGTTTTTCACTCCAATTTAAAATTCCTTATTTCCCTTACCCTCTAATTCTTTCAGCAGCTTGCATTAAAAATTAGATATGCTGCCAGAGCAACCTAATTCATGCTCGGCAACATCTATTAATGGGCACAATGGTGAAAACCCATCTCTGTCTGCTACATAAGTATTCATGTTTATAAAGGAGGATTTGAAAGCACCAGGGAATTTGACCCAAAGGGCAAAAGGAGCTTCCTCTTTTCAGCAGCATAGATTTTAGGTCAAAACAATTTCTTGGAAAATGACTCAAATTTCCATGTGGCTCAAATTCATAAAAAGTCCTAGTTCCATTGACTCTGTGTGTGTGTGTCTGTGTGTGTGTTTCCCTCCCCCCCCCCCCCCAATGAAACACCCAAATGCCAAGGTTCTGGTTGTGAAGGAAATGTAAGTTAGTATACCAAAATAATAAATGATTGTCTCAATGTCCTTTTCCTTTTTAATGAATTTGATGTTTTTGTTTGCATATTTAATATTCAAAGACAAGGCTAAGAGTCCCACCATATCTAAGCTAGCAGGATAGTAATTTATCAACCAAATCTTTACATTTTGAAGAGTAAAAGTAATCAGAACTCCATAATTTTTAAAATATTTATCAACTATCAACTTGATTTTATCATATCAGTGAATCCACATGATTATTTCATTTTATTTTTATAAATACATTACTTAAAAAATTTTTTAAAAACATATTTTACGTATATTAAAATGAAACTTATTTATGTTATCTGGACATTTTTAAATGATACATAAAGAATGATTGTTTGTGCTACAGATTCACATATTTAACTGGTTTCCTAGTTATAGATGTTTATAATCCCAGGTCAGGGTATTTTTCAAAAGAATGTACTTTTTAATACCATCTTTTTATATATTTCAGAAAATTGTCCTCAATCATCTTCAGAGCTGCACTTAATAGTCATTAAATTGACACCTTTAATTGACTCTGTGGATCATAATTTTAATTATGAAAATACTCTCTCTACAGGCACTGAGGTACCTTGAAATCTCACACCAAAAAATGTGTTATATGGAGAAAATCATTATCAATTTTAATTTTTAAATGTTGAGATCCATATATATTTTAACCGAAATATTTTCAAAGGCACTGCCTTTTTGTATCTGCATATGAATTTTCTCTGTCAACATTTTTTCAAGACAAAACTTCAAGTAAGTTGTATCCGTAATTCCTTTGAATGTTTCACAAAATCTATGCTGCCAAATAAATGGCTTCTCAATTTCCTTCCATTCTTGGGTCAAATAGATATTTACTCTATTAAAAATCAAAAGATTTTTTTCCACAAATTGAGGTATCCCAAAGGGTAACTTCAGAATTAAATATTGAACCATGCACAACATTTGATCTCATAGTTTACTTTGTGCTGAATGTTCCTTGTTTTTGTAAAAAAAAAAAAAAATCAGTGTCTTTTTCCAGTTCTTTCAAAATTCACTTGCACTCACCTTTTAAAAGCTTTCAAAGATGAAATTACTTAGCATTTCAGTCATCGAAGATTTTGAATAAAAATTTCCAACTGATTATGACCCAAAGGCAACAAAAAGAGATTTCTTTTTTCACAAGAGTTCAATAGCTCTGGAAAATGTTTAAGTTGACTAAGAGCTCTTCAAAGGTTCAAACATTCCTAAAATCAAATTGATGACCAGCAGCAAAAAAACAGAGTACACATTGCCACACTGAAGTGTATTTTTATATTTGAAATATCTTTGTCACAAAAAACTTTGTTGTTTCTAACCAACACTGTATATATAAAATATTTATAATTATGTGTGGACACGACAGCTTCTAATTCCATCAATGGAGCATTATCATTTGTCTGTACACAATCATGAATAATCAGGGCACTGTGGCCAATCCCAAGTACATTTCTGCCTCATAAATGCCTTCATTTTGTAAGAATATCTTATTAGCCATGATGCTGTCCTCCATCAAAGTTTGCATTTATACTATCCCTACAAAATTAAATAATCCCCAATGCTAAATGTTTCAGCTAAATTTATGTTGGCATTCCTGATGTCAGAGATTTTATCATTTGTAAAACTAGCAAAAGCTTTATTTTGGTTCCATATATTGGTTGAAAAAAATCAAAATAATTTTAGAATTAACTTATTTGATATTCTGTTTCAATCGGTTTGACTCTGCCCAAGATTTTTCAGACATTAGTTCTATTGGAGTCAACACATTAACAGCTACCTTGCCATTTTTCATACATGTACAATGAAACCTTGGAATGGAAAAATCAGATAAATGTAGAATAGTCATTTGATCTAAAAGAAAAGTCATACTCCACAGAGAGATATGTAAACACAACTTTTTGGCTTCATAAATAAAAGCATGTTTCCAGAAATGGTCTTCTTAATGTAACTACTAGCTGTTGAAGGCTCTTTAGCAGATTTGTAACTTAAGTTTACATGTACAGATGATATGACCATGGCCCCAGGGGACAGACAAGAAATGTAAACACACATCTATCAGTTAGCTCATCAGTAATTATCTTGACAAACAGAATATCATTACTTGATTATTTCTTAAACATGAAGTCTGACTTGACTATTTACTCACTGAAAAAGCTTTATCAAACAGTAAAAAAAAAGTGCAGATTTATTTACTCATTGGAATGAGTGAAACAAAACATAAAGTGTTGAGACTACTTTTTATTCTTTTATCCACAGGACTGTTTAAATTCTGCATATACTTAACATACACTCACCCTATCATTTTTCATCTTTCCCACTAACCCCACTAGAATTGGCAGTTTGGAGGCTTTATTCATCGTATAAATTTGGCAATAGCCATGCCTCAACAGGCTGGTATGCCACGTGACTGACTGGGGGGACTGGGGAGCATCAGAGGCTTCTCCACCACCACTTGAGACAAGAAGGGGTGAACTCATCTGAAAGCACTTTGTTTTATCAGTGACCATCCAAAAGCTTTCCTTTAAAGCTAGGTTTTAGTGGCTTAGCCCCTGAAAAGGGTCAGGAAAATAGGTGGGTTATCCCTGCTTGTTATCCCTGGTTGGATTTAACCGGGTGTGTGTGAGATCTCTGGTCACTGCACATGCAACCCCAGGGCTACTAGGAAAAACCACAGCAGAAGCAGAATGCACAAACGACAAGCCGAAGCAATTTATCCCAGTGTTATTTGAACGGAAATATTAAATACAATACTTAGTATTTAAACAAAATGGGGGGGGAGACAGCAAATGGAAATTTTCTGTGCAAATAGGGACATGTGGCATAGGATTCCAGTCCAGAACTCCAGAGCAAGTGTACCTCCATTACAAGAAGCCCCTTAAAAAAAAAAACCCTTGGGCGCCTGGGTGGCTCAGTTGGTTAAGCGACTGCCTTCGGCTCAGGTCATGATCCCGGGGTCCTGGGATTGAGTCCCGCATCGGGCTCCCTGCTCGGCGGGGAGCCTGCTTCTCCCTCTGACCCTCTCCTCTCTCATGCTGTTTCTCTCTCGCTCGCTCTCCAATAAATAATAAATAAATCTTTAAAAAAAACAAAC